GTGCATGTTGGAGGTGCAAAGACTCCTGAGCGTGTAATGTTAATTTTACCTGTGATCATTGAATAAATGAGCACTGTTTTGAAGTTACCTGGACTGCTTCGTCTCTCAGAGTTAGCGTGGTGAAAAGAACAATTGCTTACACGACTGTGTACCTTTGATACATAATATAGTATCTCCATATATTATGAAGTGTATTATGGAATACATAACATCACGCTATATAAATATATTTTTCAATATATGAAAAGCCACAATTCCTTATTGTATTATTCAATATATTGTCATATATTAATGCAGCATATTTTGCAATATATTTTTCAATAAATGAAAAGCGGCAATAAGTTACATATTATTCAATATATTGTAATATATTAATGCAATATATCTTGCAATATATATTTTAGACACACAAAATAACCCGACATATATTCACACATAATATATTTGGAAATATATTTTCTTTCCGTAAGGGCCTCTTCAGTCTGCATATTGGCTCCACATCAGGCATCCTAAAAATCCCTGTCTTCTGGATGCACACCAGATAAGAGCTGCCATCACCCCTTTGTGTGTGCTCTTAAAGAAATTGTTTACCAGCATGATTACTGTATAAAGTGGTAGGCTATATTTTGATCATTTGGACATTAAACCGTTTTAAACTACAATTTTCTTTGATGTTGAGACTTTGTTGGTTCTTATGAATATTAACGTGTTCAGATTACCACAGTCCGTGCAGATTCAGTCATCCAAAAATGTAGAAAAAATATCAACTGGACTTGGTTTTTAGGTCGAAAACATTTCACCTCTCATCCAAGAGGCTTCATCAGTTCTGCCCGACTGGCGTTGAGCCGGAGATATTTATCCCCATCGTTGGTGTTTTAGTCCTTAGATGCCCAACAATGTCCCTTAACGACTGAGTCAGTATAGCCCAGTATCGGTGAGCATCGTTACCTGTCTTTGAACCCTCACCTGTGGACCGACGCCTATTGTCCTGGTGGGCATGTTTGGGCAGAGATCTCAAACTACTCTGAGCATGTGTAATATTAAAACACAAGTAAGAAAACGGAAGATCCTTGGCAGAAAACATGGGGAACGCCAAATTACATCTTAACAATTTTAAAATGTTAACTGTTCCTGTTTTTTTTAGCATTCTCAATATACTGCAGCCCTGCGATGGATTGGCGACCTGTCCAGGGTGTCCCCCGCCTTCGCCCGATTGCCGGCCGGGATTGGCTCCGGCCCCCTCCCCCCCCGTGACCCCGCTCAGGCAACAAACGGTAGAAAATGAATGAATGAATGAATGAATGAATGAATGAATATACTGCAGTGAAGTCCAGTCAGACAACTTCTCCATTTTGGTCGAATAATTTTAATTTTCATGGCAATTTCCAAATCGTTCAGATCATTTAGTGTTGACAGACCACATGCGCTTCAAACGCTCAGTTTTATGTGATATCAAGATTAACCGCTTTATTTTCCAACGTGTACAGAACACAAGGCATTGACTGTCTTCTTTGTATGAAGATCATCAGCGGTGATATTTAGCCTATGACATGTTTTACATAGATTCACTGAGCAACATAAGACGCACTCTATAGATTTTCATCGTTGGCGAAATGAAAGCTGAAACGCAAATGCAAATGTACTTTTGCATTTTAGCTACTAAAGACTGACTGTGTCAGGGTGTAACGCTGTACTCTGGCTTGTAAAAGGATGCCAGAGAAAACAGATACCGCTCATGAAGATGTACAAAAGTACAACAAATGTGCGCAGTGACAAACA